TTTGAACATCAGGGTATTATCAGGGAGGAAAGTCCAAACCAATGCAGATCTTAGAAGTTTGCCTTTTTGGAGAAACCCATCCCCATAGATTCAAAGCCATGATCACAGGTTTCAGGTATGGACAGAGAATTTCGGAGCCTTAGATGACAGGGCAACCCGTGCCTCTAGGGGTGAGGATTCTTGAGGAGGTCTCCTTAGGTACTTGAATCTGGGAGCCCTAATTTCAACATTCGGGTTATGCATTGGAGATATGTACATATGACATATGCTCTTACAACAAAAAGAGATATCCAAAGACACTTTTTGCAACAAATATACTACATCCATTTAATACATACTTACCTAAACATGCATAATAATTAATATCTTATATAAATCATTGACAATTCGCCTTATCAGGTATTCCCCAGAGAAATATCTGTAACTGCAGCTGATGCAAGGCTCTGTTGCTTGTGTGATGACTGACTGGCTACAGCTACATTGCATCACAAATTGGATGAACTACTTTGATGACTGAAGGAATTATTCATAGTGTGGTACACCTGTACCTGACAGACTCTGCCTTGCATTAACGTTGGATTAGGGTCATCGGGTTTAACTTTCTCCATGAGATCAGCCTTAGTACCAGTAGCTGATGGGACCCTGCAATTGAGGCACCCAAACATGTACTGATATACAGGAAATTGGCACCGAACCAGCAGTTAATAAGTTAATGGTTATGTTGGCCCAGGAATGATCATGCAAACACACACAGTATTCCTTCTTTGACAAGACTTCTAATAGGGTTATCATTAGGAAATCGCTCATTCAACTGAAGCAGTCTGTCCCATGCTTAAAGTATCCTTTCAATAGTTTACCTACGAGTAACATGTTTTATTCATTTGAGGGAGTGCTGTAAAAAATAAATCAATAGTCCTCCTTTAATGTCTCTTTTTTTCAACAATTGAACCTTTAACTGCAATACCTGGCCATTAGGCTAAAAACTTATTTAATCTAGTTACCCCCCAAAAAGAAGAGTTTTTCACTTAATTATCACTGATTATTTTAAAAATGTGGCATTGTGATCACAGTGATTAAAGTGCTTACAAGAAGTTGGCCCAAGTTTTAGAGAAGTTCAAGGCAGTCTATTTAGGAGTATGTGGTGTTTGTGCCATCACGGACATAGCCAGCAGGGCATGTCGCTTATTCATGTTCAAAGTTTGAGCTTTTACCAGTTTTTAAAGCAGCTTTCAAAAACGAAAGTTGACTTGAACATGTTTAAAGCCATGAACAATTCTGAGCCATTTGATGCCAGACATTCCTCGTATAGTTTCCCTTCTGCCAGTTTGTACAAGCAGCTGAAAGTGGATACACAGGCAGACAACAGACAAAATGTCACACCACCATAATTCAAACTTCAACATGATCAGCGTATTTCTTGCTAAACTACTGTTGGAGATATTAAAAAAACAGTTTTGGTTCTCACATGATTATTAAAAAAAGTGGAATGATTAGCAGCATGTAACCACAAAAACATTCTTACTAATTTGGCTGGTGGCCATAGCGATCCTAACATCTATGAAAAAATAACATTTACACATAGAAATGTTGTGAAAATACAACACAGCAACACGAACATGATACAGATCATATTGTGTTGTGACAATTCGCTGTCGCCAGGTGATGCACTTAGTGTAACCTCTCATCTGCGTAACTCCTGACAGGTGTGGAAAAGGGGGTTGCCGCATAATACACATACCATAGGATTCATGGTTAAATTGGTGCAATGATAACAACATATCATTTTTTTTCATTATTAGCACAAAACTACATTTGCTACTGACTTAATGTCTCATGTATTCAATAATATTTCAAAAACATACCATAGTTGGATTCAGATTCCATCATCAAGATCATCTAATTCACATCATTGTTATAGCTTGTTCCACTATTGTTTCTTTGGATTTAAGCAATATTTCAGAATCTAAGTTTGGACTTTTTTTCATTCATGTAAATTGTTCTTGTCTCCTTGTTGCTGTCAACCAAGGTAGCAATACATTTGGTTAACTACATGTAGTTATTTCATTGATTGCTCAAAAAGACTTTGAACACTAACAATTACAGGCCAAAAAGGAATTTATTTCTATTTCCCACCTCACTTTAGAATCTGCACTGAATCTAAAAGCCTTTATGAGGGAGAGATTTTAATCTATATTTCCAGTAGTCTGCAAAAATTATCTGCTACAGAGTTGCCATCTAGTTATCTGCTACAGAGTTGCCATCTAGTTATCTGCAACAGAATTGCCATCTAGTTATCCGCTACAGAGTTGCCAGCTAGTTATCAGCTACAGAGTTGCCATCTAAATACCTGCCACAGAGTAGTCATCTAAATATCTGCTACATAGTTACCATCTAGGTACATGCTTCAGAGTTGTCATCTAAATACCTGCCACAGAGTAGTCATCTAAATATCTGTTACAGAGTTACCATCTAGTTATCTCCCACAGAGTTGCCATCAAGTTGCATGCTTCATAGTTGCCATCTAAATATCTGCTAAAGAGTTGCCATCTACATATCTGCTACATAGTTACCATCTAGTTATCTGCTACAGGTTTGCCATCTTAATATCTGCTACAGAGTTACCGTCTAGTAATCAGCTACAGAGTTGCGATCTAAATATCTGCTACAGAGTTGCCATCTGAATATCTGCTACAGAGTTGCCATCTAGTTGCATGCTTCATAGTTGCCATCTAAATATCTGCTACAGAGTTGCCATCTAAATACCTGCCACAGAGTTGCATCTAATATCTGCTACAGAGTTGCCATCTAGTTACATGCGTCGAGTTGAGGAAATGGCAAACACAGCAAAGATCTAATAAGCTTCTAAAGAAGTCTCAGCTACAAACCTACGATAAAAAAATATAGGAAATTAGCCTTGCTGGACTTCTGACAATCACATAACCTCATAACACTGAAACTGCTACCAGGCATATGGCGGATTGTTTAATGATACCTGCAGCTGAGCCACTATCTACATGATAAGCCCAAGCTAGCCAATCATCTGCACAGCTAATGCCAAATTCAATCTGTCAACAGCTACACACATACTAGGATGATGACTCAGTGAAGAGCTTGGTGAAATGTCAGTTTTTAAGGTTAAATCCGATCGATCAAACACCATTATCTGGTGTTTGTGTGCATGAATGGGGGTGTTTATTTGAATCGGAGCTAATGACAGTTAAATGGTGAAAAATGCCAAGCCACCAAACCTATTTGACCACAAAAAGTTCACTGTTTACAAGCAATGCTCAGTGGTTTAGAAAATCTGATTAGTCTTGACGGCAAAGAAAAGAAACATTATTATAACAAATCATGCACTGTCACTAATTATTGCATTCACATAATCCACTTAAACTAAATTTCTAGCCATTTGTGGTCCCTCATATAAAGTCATAAAGAAGAGGTCATATTAACATGAATAACATTATCAAAGGCAATAAAATGTTACATCCTCTGGTAAAACCATCAAAATAAATATTAACTGTTCCTTTACTTCTAGCTCCTTCATGCCTCCTTGGAACTATTCCCGAGCTAAGATATTTCATATCCCATAGTGGCAGTGGTAACCAAACAGAATCAGTTCTTCACATCATTATTGCTTCAGCCATGTTGGCTGTGAGGAGGCTACAACATCACAACACCCTGTTGCATATGTTTTCCATGAGCTGGCTTGCCATACAAACAATATCTTTAACGGTTTCCTTTCAAAATACATTTCCCCAACACCGTTAAGTATTTTTATTTTGTTAGTTGTTTAACAATGCAGTCAGCAATATTCTAGCTTTATGAAACCGACCTGTAACTAATTGAGTCTGGACAAGTCTTATTGATATTATGATTGATATTATGAGCAGTGATCTATACCATCGGGTTAATTGATAATCTATAAAGCAAGTCATTGAAACTGGCCGCCTGTTTCATTAATTTTGTTTAGCAATATTCCAGCTATATGACAGAGGTCTGTAAATAATCGAGTCTGGGCCAGACAATCCAGTGATTGATATCATAAGCATTGATCCACGCAATTGGGATACGATGACATGAATCAACCAAGTCAGCAAGCCTGACCACCCAATCCTATTAGTCGCCTCTTATGACAAGAATGGTCGCCTCTCATGGCAAGCATGGGTTGCTGAAGGCCTATTCTAACCCAGATCTTCACAGGTAGTTTCATTAAGTTGCCTCATATGACCAGCATTTGCTGTTGGGGACCAAATCTAACCCAGAATCCCCATGGTCAAATATGCTTATATTCATGAAGAATACAATGAGTAGTGATGAGTAATAGAACACAAACAATATGGATCTTCCTTGTGTCACATCTGTAAGCTCTGTATTGTGTGATGCTCATATTAACAATCCTAAACACTCAGGAAGGACTCAGAAGGTAACAGATATACACATCGGGACACCATGTGAATTCTTTTCTCTTTTCTTTTGTTTACAATATGAAACAATATTAATATTTCTCAGTTTCCCAAATTTTCTCTCTCATGCCTCTTTCAGTTAAATTGTATACGGTTAAGTAAAGTCAGGTCACTAAAGAACAAAATTATAATGTCCTGTTCGACCTTCTGATTTGTGCTTCTATTTATCTGACAAGTAAATCATGTTAATAAGTGGTACTTCCGGGCAGTGTAGGTCAAAAGTACCGGTACTCCATGCTTGTTGCAAGTCAGCTGAAATGGTGACAGAGAGGTCATCACTTCGTGAGTCTGACCTGGATGATCATGTCTTTTATCGTACCCTGATCATGGATCATGGCTTATGGGATCTAACACTAGACTGGCAAAACCTTTCTCCATCGCAGGCTGCCATGATAAACATGTTGCTGATATCTGATAATCATGATATGATGATGCTGCTGGCTGTCAAAACAATATTCACCCACACAGTTCACATTTCATGTAATACGTATACGAAGAGGCCACATCATGCATGAATATCTTGTTCAGACTTACAAAGTTTGCCAAAACTTGCTGATATTCTTCTCTTGAGTTTCTTGATTCTGCTCACTTGTCCTTTTTCTTTACCTGAAATGAACAAGGTCAATAGGTCACGGTCAGGTCAAGGGAGTTTCTGTTCTTCCAGCAAAGTAAAAAGAAATTACACATACAAAATGATGAATATTCACATTTCAAATATTAAACTAAAAACTAAAGACTTTTAATAGAAAATATCATGCCATATACAATAGATGCCCTTAGGTTCCAGGTACCAGTAGTTTTTCTGGGTGTAATTTACTGTAAATTAAAAAAAAATTGTATAATGTTCTTGATACATTGATCAAACAGCTGTGTTAATATTTGATCATCAAATTACTTTGTTGAACATGATGAAGTCCTATTCAGGTGAACATTCACCTGTGTCCACTCACTGATAAAGCTGGGAAAACCATGAACACTTTTATTAAGCCCTTGGTTGTATTTGCCTCCCATTGAAGCAGCAGGACCTTTTCAGCAGACAAATATTGTCTGTTCAAACACCCCCCTGTGGCAGTTTCCCTCATACCAGATACAACTTGGACGAGTTTTGTATTGTTCTTAAGTTTAAAGCTGCCTATAGAAACACCAAGGAAAGTGTAAAGGATATTAATTTTAGTAGAAGCACATAAGATTTTCATGTGATAAGATGTACAGGGTCAGATGCAAACCACAGTGACCAGCAACATCTTTTTGAGGGAAGGTGTCATTATTTTTATATATTGATAGTCATGATTGTAAAATACATAAAACATATCCACCTGATAACCATTTTCCCAAGGCAAGGGCATTAACTGACTATAAAAGTCCAGTTATCAGCCTTGCCAGACTAGGCTGGAATTCTGGAGTTACATTTTGGCTGGACTAAAAAGTCTATACATAGTGCAATCAACATCGTGCTACGAATTACACATTCAGTTGCTAAACAACATGGATTTCAACGTGCAGATTTCGTTGCAGGCTGCAGGCTTTGCAAACCATGTGTACTGTAAACTGGGCATCTACAGATATTTTGCAAAACTTTTCATGTTTTTAATCAAGGTGCTTAAGTGATTTGATGGTGCTAAGACCCGTTTTATTACAACATAGATCTTGATTATCGATCAGATCATTTTGAAGCAAACGCAAGTGATATGAGCAATGGAATCTGATTGGTCAACAGGAGGGACGTAGAAGGGACATTACACATAATAGCCACTGGTGGAGATAAGATCGAGCCTGGAAATTCCAGCCAAGTTCAGCAAGGGTGGAAACTGGACTTTCATAGTCAGTTATTGCCCCTACCTCAGGAAGATGCCTAATAACATTAACATATCTCAGTATAATTGTAAATCAGCATGCATACTGATCAGGATGATAAACTAGCAAGTGTTTGCAAATGTAAATACAGTGAAAACATTAGGCTTGACCCTATTAATCCTGAAATTGTGCTTCCAAAATGATTGTCATTTGGGTTATCCATCTATATACAATGACATCAACATGACATCAACACATATCTATGATTTGTAGATAACCTAAATGGCTTCATCGCCCATAAGCAACCATCTTCCCAAGGCAAGAGAGTTAACCGACTTTAAAAGTCCAGTTTCCACCCTTGCCAAACTAGGCTGGAATTCCTGGGCTCGATCGTAGCGCCACCAGTTGCTATTACCAGTTATGTCCCTTCTAAGCCTCTCCTATCGACCAATTAGATTCCAGTTCTCGTATCTCGTATCACTTGTATTTGCTCCAACAAAATGGAGGGGCCCAGCCAAGATGATCTGATCGATAATCAAGATCTTTATTGTGATAAAACGGGTCTTACATAGCAAAGTGCATCAAATCGCGTGAGCACCTTGATTAAAAACATGAAAAGATTTGGAAAATATCTGTTGACAACGAGTTGGCGGTGCACATGCTTTCCAAATCTTGCAATCGACCGAAATCTGCACGGCAGTTTACGAACCGGATTTTGATTATGTTGCACGATTTTGATTGGACTTTGCATAGACTCGTTAGTCCAGCCAAAATGTAACTCTAAAATACCAGTCTAGTTTGGCAAGGGTGGAAACTGGACTTTTATAGTCAGTTAACCCTCTTGCCTTGGGAAGATGATAAGCAACATGGCATTAGGGAGGTACCACCATTGAGGGAGTTTGTGTTCTTTGCATATTTTTTCACCAAAATTAATCCAGTTACAAATATGCAATATTATAAGGGCAATAGAAGCTGATCGAAACTACAGAGGGAGAGAGTGAGTTGGGTTTAATGCCGAACAGTATCTCAGTTATAGGATGGCATGTCATCTTAATGTGGGAAGAAAGCCTGAAGTGATGCTGATCTCAGCGTTGATGAAACCTCCGACCACAAGGATCATGCTGACAAACCTAGAATCAGGGTCAAACAGGAATCGAATCCAAGATCATAGGTTTCTGGCATGCCCAAGGGACACAATGCTACACAGCGAATTGCACCTCCTTAGACGACTGGGCTACTCATGTACCATAAACTACACAGGGCAATACATCTAAAATATATCATGAATTTCTTTTCAGCATGTTTCAGTTCAGAGTTCAATAAATAAAACAAAAGTAAAGTCAGTGAGCTGACATTGCTATACACCCCAGTAGCAATATTCCATCTACGTCAAAGCAGTCTAGACATGGCAAACCAGTGGTTTATAGCATGAACAACAACCACCAAATAAGTGTATTAATATGTACAATAAGCTTAAACATGTTTAAACAATGTGGCAACTGTTTTAGGTAACATTTTGAAAAATCAAAACAACAAGTATGTAATACTTCTATACCCTGCCAATAGTATGTTCTATTGAGTGCAATACTCAAGCCCCTGCCTACATAAGCCGCCTAGTACTTGTTCCAAGTACTAGTGGCACTGAATCAAAATATGATTAATATGCTGCTTGCTTGTCATACCTTTAGCCATTAGGGTGGTGTTACTATGTGAAGATCATTGGGAGGAGCATTATCATCGGACACACTTGGGTTCTCAATTTTATAGTTTATTTTCACAAAAAATATCTGTAAACCAAGAAACAGTCTGGCAGGACAAAAACTGCATAAACTCTACCATATTGTAGGTAACATGCTATTTCATATTAACCTTGTGAGGGTTATTACTTTCAAGTGAGACTTCCTGAAAGGTTTTACATTTGAAATGTCAGATCAAATCTGGGCAGGTGATGAAGCCTTGTTCAACCTTACATTTGACTGACTTCAGTTGTTTGCATACTGCACATGGTCTTTCTGTTGCCCACATTTATTGAATTGGTTTTTAACACTATTGTATCAGAAGGCAATTTCCTCTGCCTTGTGTTTACATTTTCAACTAAAATAGAGAAGTATTTTAGCTAACTTATTAACCATCTAAATGCAAGAAATAACAAAAGAATAGCAAATATTGGCAAACCTTATCATGCCTTACCGTGAATCAATAATTTAATCTTGGTATAAAATGAATTCCATGGCAGCAGACAAGAGAAAGAAAAAGGCATGTTTTATCCATCACTTAATTCCAAACACTGGAATTGATTGAAACCAATGACCAATGGTGTAATCTAACCATCTTCCCAATCTCTCTTAGCTCCTACATACTTGAAGCAAGTCATTGATCAGGTGTATACTCAGTTTATCAGCCACCTTATCATGCTTGTCATGTCACAAAACCATTAGGTGCAGTCTGGTCTTTCTTGATTGGACTGAGATAACTGACGCCATAGAAATGTAAATGTCACAAATCCAAGAACCTCTAATTATACCCAGTACAATACGTCCTGAATGTTCTGCTCATGTCATTGTTTACATGGCATGGCCAGAATCAATTTAATGATTATATATCAAAACAAGGACATGCTCAATTAACGGGTCATTAATACATTTATAGCACTAAATCTCAGGAAACATGATAAGTAGAAACGTATCCCATGGAGAATACGGGTAAGATTTGGTCCCACAACAACCAATGCTGGTTGGAAGGGGCAACTTAATGGATCAGGGGATCAGACTCAGGGCCTGGTTCATAGTGTTTAATTGTGCCATGACAGCATAAAATGTTGCTCAGAATTTTTGTCACTGGATTGTCTGGTCCAGACTTGCTTATTTACAGGCTGCTACAGTATTAAACAACAAACAAATTTATGTCCAGACATGTCTGGTAGGTGCAGGGCACAATGGCTGTTTTCTCAACTAATTATATACTTCATTAACTCCAGCTGGTAGTACATGCAGGTGTGACCATGAAAAGGGCTCCTGGACAATTAACATGGTTAGTATACTTACCAGCCTACAGATTACAGCCCATCTGGCCTTGGTGCTCACTGTCCATAAGATAGCAGGACTACATGCTGTGAATAAACAGCTGTGTCACGTGGGCGGCACTTCAGGAGAGGAGATGACAAAACTAACACCTTTACTATTTTGTTCAGTGCTTTTTCAGTACCAGTAAATGAGAAAATAACATGACAAATTGTTTTGTATGTTTATGAAAAGAACATACCTGTTTAAAGGAGTATGGATACAATATCTGAGTATCATGAGCGTGATGAGTATGAGGGTTGGGTTCAACAGTGATATGATAATGCTCAATTTCAGGGAATTATCTACAATAATCAACTTAGTGTCATTGGCTGTCACATTGGCATAAAAATAAAAGCACTATTTTGTAAAAGAAATAATAGAAATCTTATTATTAATCAAGTCCATATTTCATTTAATGTTATGTAATAATGTGAAAAAAAAGTTTACACTTTGGACCTACTTTTTATCATTTGTTAATGGTCCTGTTATCACTTTTGCAAATATAAAGCATTAGTTATTATCATAATAATTTCAAATAGGATTTTTAACATTTGCTGTACACCTGAGGCTGAATGTCAACCTCTGAAGACACCCAGGTAAATCCTTCAGAAAAATTAGCATGAATGGGTGTTACTCTGCACAGCAAAACTTGGGGCCTTAGACAACGTATTCGACGTAATAAGCGCCCCCCTCTAATAAGCGCCCACGACGATATTTGCTAATATATTGACTAGTGAACAATCCCAATTA